CTGTAGCAATTTCTTAGTGTGAAAACCCAGTATATGTCCCCAACTCCACAACCACGTGCACCCCTTTCACCCTTCATTGTGAACCATCAATCCGAATGTCAATGCGTTTTGAAGCACTGTAAAATCTCAGTAAATTGATCTGTGCTTGATAAATTCCATGTTGGAAATGCGTCTGCTGTTTAACAAGTTTGAAACAGCTTGAACGATGGTGCACACATTTATTACACAGAAAGTGTGAAGCAGCTGTGCTTTCATTTGAAGTTAATGCAATTCCAACCGGGGTGGAAAGTGGTTAATAACAATTCCGAGGTCAGATTGACAAATTGGTTTCAGGTGATTTATCTACCAGTTACATTTCCCATGAAGTCAGGGCTAGGAATAACAAGTTTTGATTGTCTACGCAGTCACAATTGGGGCATTAACATCGTTTAGCTTAAAAGGAACATCAGAACTCTCTTTAAATCATTTCCAAGAGCAATGTGTTGCATTGAACAGACCCCAACCTTCTTCGTCTTAGGTTAGCAATCTGGAAAACTATTTCTAACAATATTCTGGACTGCATCCTTCCCGTTAAGTTGCTACCATCACATCAGCAGAGTGGGTCGTAAGTGAAATCCACACTTTTGTTTGATGCCTGTGGTAATGACACACATTTCGCTATGGGAAAACACAGTCATTAGGCATAGGAATTGCATGCAGCCTGCGTCACTGTAATCTGAGGCTAAATTGTTTCAGCCAAGTGGCTGACTACTCCGGTCAAACAAAAAAAATATGGGACTTACAGGTTTGATAGGGTCTTGGGACCGGGTGGAGTGTAGTACTCAATTGGGAAGGGAGGGCTGTATGAAAGGAAAGAGTAGACGGCAATCCACAAATGGTAGCTTCGACGTTAGGATAAGACTCTTTTACAAAAAAAATAAGTCCATAATTTCACGTGCCTTAATCCTCGGGAGGTGGCATTTCTGAAATGAACAAAAAAACGACAAATAAGTAGGGATTCGTTTGTGACGGCAAGATTTCAGGTGCATAGCTCCAACTTTATTGCAGTTCTACATAAATACTGCAGGGGATTGAGATGATGACGAACAGTGAAAAAATGAGATAAACTCGTTACAATTAGATGCCAAGGTGATTGTACGAATGGACTCACGGTTTACTATTTTTCGCCGTTGGCCCTTTGGAAAACAAATTCCTGATAAATGGAATCCGCTTGCGGAAGACAAAGAGCAGAACCAGGAGAATTATGAAGATTAGAGGAATTAATGTTCCCAGCAGTATTTTTAGCAGATTATCAGAGGCTGTAAAAGGAAAAAAACAATGATTCTGAAATTCAGAAAAAGTTGAGGAGCTTTCCAAAGGCCCGCATGGGGTCAACTTCTAGGCCATCAAAGAGAACTAAAATCCGACACTAACTACTGTCACTTGTAGTGGGTGACGATGGATCCCCAAATATGCCTACACCACTGTCGCTCATCCGCATTGAGGAGACAGTCACACGGTATTCTGTTGCTGGTTCCAAATCCCCTATGGTGCAGCTCTGCTCTGTGCTGCTTGCGATACAGGTCTTGACTGACTTGGATGAATTGCTACCCTAAGTTTCAGCCCTGGCTTCGTAGCCTTCCGCACCCACTCCACTTCCAGCTGCCCAGGTCACTTCAATGCTGGTAGTTCCGATCTTGCGAACGCGAACCTCATTCGGAGCTATAATGCGGCGGATTTATTCCCCGATTTGCTCGACAAACGTTTAACAGACAAGAGTACTTTCATGCAATCTGTGTGTAGACGTACCAGCAGGATTCGTGCGGAACATCACTGGGGGTGTAGCATCACTGCATCCAAAATGTCCATTCGAGCATACAACAGCGGTTGCGTTGTACTTTGTATTGGCAAAAAGGTACTCCACTTTGCAACTTTGCATGTCGCGAAACCTTCCATCATTCACGGTACAGGTGATGCTGGACATATTTTCTGTTTTACCAGCTGGGTGCACTTGAATTCTGATTGTGGTCGACCCGCAGTTCTCAATCGGTCTACCCGCCCATGCAAATGTCACCGTGTAGGTGGTCAGTTTCTTTAACTCAAAACCATTTAACGCTGTCACAAACAATCGAAGTAGCGTATAGAGCGTTGAAGCGGTCAAAGTAACACTAAATGTTGACAGTTATGAGCTTACGCGGTGGTGAAGGCCCTGTCTCATATGCACTGATACCACAGTCACCATCACGGGCGCAGGCACGAACAGTGACGTTGATAACGTGACAGGCTGAGAGTCCAGCAATCCTGCATTTATGCCCTTCATCCTTCACAAATTCGCAGGTCCAATTCTTCCCCAAGTTATCAGTTACCCCAACCTCGTATTTGGTGATTGGCTCCGTGCTGGGTGTTGGTTCGTTCCAGGTCACTACTATGTCCGTTGCGGATGCTTCCAACACACGCAGATCCAGAGGAACTATTTTTTACAAAATAAAATAGATGTTGGGCAAGGAATTCGCTCATATCCAAGGAAACTCCATGTCAACCTTGTCTGACCACCGTCAGTTAACTAAATGCTGTTTTGACAGACGTTTTGACCGGTCATCATATTTTGACTACTTTAAAAGTGGGCCTTTGTTCAACTGTGCTCTCGCCATTGGATATGATTGCTTAAGGCAAAGGGTATGTAAGACCGTGGGTCAGTAATAAGTCATGTTAGTGCCTCAAAAGGCAAGACAACTGGAGATCTCATATCCACAACTTTCTGATTTCTTTCACTTGGGACGCTTTCACAAACCAATGGCTTTCCAATGAGAGATGGTTGTGTTTTGCTAAACATTACCGTGAACTCACCACCAGGCCTGGTGTAGCCGATCAGCGGCTTTGAATTCACACCGCACAACTTTGGTGCCTGAGCATAGCATGCTTGGACCATGAGATTGTACGCGGTGTTGGCAATGAGATCGGTCACACGGCAAGAATTGGCATTTGTTGTGCAGCTGTGCTGTGTGAGACTTATCGCCGACTTGGTTGGTGTTGCATAGACGGTGTACTTGTACAACTGTGTTCCGTAAACACTGGATGGAAGATCCCACCTAGTCTCAATGCTCTCGTTGGTCCTGGACGTGACCTGCAAGTTCTGAGGAACTGTACGAGGGAAAGAGGAGGGAATGAGAAGACTTAAGGTGTGGTGACGAATATGTAAATGATTTATGTAAATACACGTAATGAGGAGTTTGAGGTAGCTTGATGGAAATTTGTCCAAAGCGAGTTAGAGAAACTTGGGGGTAAGAAAAGTTTAATGCAAGAGTAGCTGCACCACTAACCAGAGAGCAACGTGGGAACGCTTTTACAGTTTGCATGGGTTTGAGTGCTAAAAGTGGAATTAAGGGAACCGCGTCTTCAAGTCATCCCACTCCTCCATTTCTGTGCTCCGACTCAAGCACAGCAGCCAATCATTCCGGTGGAGTTGGCTTTGATGAAGTTGCAATACTCAACTCTGCCACAAATTCGTGAGCCTGACACCCCAAACCATGTCATTCCCTTACTTTTAAATGCCATCGAAATGCAACTGCCAGTGAGGCATTGCAGTATTTGTGGGTATTCCTCGGGAATGCTTTCTATAGAGGATAATTGGTAAATATTCTTCAATCTAAGGCCAAGTTGTTATAATATTAAAGGAGAAAGGACTGTGAATGGGCAAATCCGATTTGGGGTCAAATTCAAACGCTCCTGAATATTTAATTGACACTAATGGAGTGTCCAGTGAATAGGTGGATGCTGATGTTGCGGACGAAGCGTCCGCAGAGGTCTGCGCATGTACGAAACAGGGTGGAACACAAACCTCGTTTCGACTGTAGGGAGAGAGACCGTCAATCGTGCAACCGCCGACTTTTCTTACTATAATCGTTTTTACAGATCTATTGGTATAAGTAGTGAGCACATCCAATTCATTCTTTACACTCGAGAGCTTTCATGTTACACTCACTGCGGTTTGACTCAACGAGGTCAAGTTGAGCTTTAGGGTTGATGTACATTTACCTGCTTATTGAGAAGAGCTACTCAACGTCTATTCGGTGTTGGAGGGATGGCAGAAGCTCTAGAACACTGCCACCAACAACTCGCAATGATGTGTGGTGGGAGAAACCACTTCATGCCATCTCTCTACACCAATTACATGGTATCGCATGGGATCTACAATCCAACCAATCCACTCACTGTTTCGTGTTCGGTGTCCAATAGACCACTTCTAGCCACAAAATTCTCCACCAGTAGCTACGAGCGGAATACGCTGGTGCACCTTCAAACTCGAGGGAATGCATGTAAATCTTGCCAAGTACTACGAACATCACAAAGAGACAGAAACACTGATGGTAAAAGCATCTTCTGCCTTTGTGCCCCTTGAATTCACTGACTGAGAGCAAAAGAAGGCAATATGTTTACTGTCGTGCGGAAGCAAATTAAGGCTGGGTTATGGACTATAATTATTAGCTTGAGTGGGGACAAACCTGGTAGAAACGATAATGCAGGACGGAGTCTAAAAAGTTGAAGGTACACGAGCGTACAAATTGTATACGGTTTACAAACGGAATGATTCAAGGTGATTTTTAATAGGAAAAAGAAACAGTGAAGCATTTAACCTATGACCTTAACTCGAGACTTTGGCCTCAAAATGGCGCTAAGATAAGGACGTAGTCATCACCTAGAAAACAATACAACTAAGATTTTTAAAGGTGAATTAAACTGATATTTTTCGATCCATTATCCTTACTTTGACGCCTTTTACTCTGATTTTATTGACAGTCGTTGAGGAAACGGTACCGCGTATTGACATTGTTTAAACAAGAGTGCTTTTAGGGGATGCAAAGAGTTCAGGTTAAGTATGCCCCCAGCCCTTGACCGTGGAGACGATTGACAATGTGCAGGGCCTCCATAAAGGAGTCAGATAGACAGCTGGAATCTGAAGCGAATCTGTACAAATAACTAGCCAATTCAATTAATGGAAAAGCGGGTAGGTCAAATCCATTCTGCTTTTACAGGAGACGCGTCATAATTGATGTCAAAATGGCAAATCACTCGGATGTGCTTGCCTTAGGCATGGCGACTAGCCTTTCCACCCAAGGTTAACCACTTCTAATATCTTCTCGTTTCTTTAAATATTTCCCACCGTGTAGATGTTGTCGCTACGATGTAGAACAATGGAGCACGCCCTGCTATATGCGGGTAATTGATTATGCTGTTTGACAAACCCATGATTAACGAAGCGAGTGCTCTCTTGGTTGCGAAAATAAAGTCCATGTGCTCCCAGATTTTTATCGCATTCTTTGTACTGATCATTAAGTGCTTAAACTCTTGACTTAAAATTTATTAATGCAGCGATATTATTATCAATCTTTCAGGCATGTCCAATCAGCGTTATTCAGCAGTAGTGGCTCACCACATTTCCCCACGACACTTTCAAACAAAGTGAATGCAACTTTTCATTTACGAGATTAAAAGAAACTTTTATTCTAAGATCAAAGAATCGTTACTCAGTGTGTTATCAGGCTTTAATTCAATTCTTTAAGTAGTCACATTAGTGAAATATGTAGCGTAGAAATAGATAGTAATCCGGTCCAAAAAGCTCAACACTAACATAGAGGATTCGCTCCGGAAAAACTGTTCAAATGTAAATCGACTTTTAAATATCTTTAAAACGGATGGAAACGGATGCCAAGCTTACCGGGTATCTTGAGAACCCCCTGAAAGTCCAATGAGATCTAGGGAGAAAGATCATTTTGTGTGAGCAACTGAGCTTTATGCTCTAAAATCTCCACTGACATTCAATGCAAAATGAAACGGAAAAGAGCAATTGCAAAAATAAATCTTCAACAAGTTCTACTTAATTAGTTACAATTTTAATACCATACAGGCGTTTAATGTAACCTTATGGTAATGATAATATGAGCTGCCTATTATCAATCAGTATTAGGAATGATGTTAGATAACGGCATTTAAATTATCCCCCAACTCTCCTACAATATCATTAAAAATATTTATTGAAGAGCAATTGGACCAGCTCATGCACATCCTTCTATCAATTTGAAGAATGATGAAGAGGAGCCATACCGAGATATTATGGAAATATAGCAGAAAAGTTATAATAACTCATCCATTCAAGTAATTAAAATTTGGCTGTGGGATATGGAAGAATAATTCACAAGTGAGTAAAAACCCATCACCAAATAAGGCTTACACATAACATAAAAATCAAGAGAGAATATTACCACTAGTTTGCCATGAACATTGGATAACCAGTGACGTCAAGCAAAGGCAAATGATACCCCAGTAACACATATGCATTGTGTAATAAGAAAATCCGCCTTCCCATTGGCCTATTTATACGGAAATACGACCTTCTCCAAAACCCTCGAGTCCACAGCTGACGATTAAAACAATGGCTAATAGCAGTCAAAAACACATTGTAAAGAAAATTCTTTACCTAGAACTCTTTTTTTTGTTTTTTTGTGTCAAAAAATTATTTATTATTGAATGTAAGTTTTACTTGCTGAAATGTCAAGCAAACCAAAAAAACTTCATTAAAATGTGTATGATTACAAGATGTGTATTTAGTACCTAATCTTAATCTTATTACTTGCCTTCAACACTCTGGTGCAAGCGTTTAAAAACATCCACACCAGAAGTGTATGATTAATTACAAACTGTCTCTTCACCGAAATTCGTCGAGGGCCAGAAGACCATTGGGTAAAATTAAAGGGTTCGCTTTTAAAAAAAGCACAAATTTCTCCCCTGCCAGGTTGCTTTTCCAAGTACACAAATAAATTTTGCATTGGATCTTCACAGGCACCTTCTCATGTTATGCTTTGTTTTAGGCGCCTTCTTTTGTCAATGACTTGTGTCAATTATCATAAACTGTTGGTAGATGTAAATTTATAGGCTTAACCTCGCATTGTTTAGAGCCAGTTGATGCCTTGCAATAGGGTGTTTTATATACCACTCCCTACACAGGTGAACATCTGCCCAAAAGCATGTTAATTTATTGAATGTCACGAGGCAGAGTGGCTTCCAATTTAGCGCTGCCCATCGACCTACCAACATGCTCATCTGTCAGCCTGTTTTTTCTTTACTACTAGAGGCATGAAAAGGATGCCGCTTACTGCTTAGTCAGCATCTGCGTAGAATCACCATAGACGGCTACACAATAGACTTGTCCAATTGGCCAAGCGCGGCGAAGCGCTAGTTTCAGACAACCATCTTGTGGAGCTCGAGTGGATGGAATTGCCGAAAGCACACTCAATTCTAGTCTTTCTCTTGGTGATGTTCTTAGACACATCCCTACCTTTACGACGCCATGGCTTGGGGAGAGGCCATAAGAATCAAATAGGAATGATTTGGAATGGGGATCACAATTTCACTGCTAGGAACACAGAATGCTGTGCCTCTTTTCTAACCTCATTGGAACTCCACTGTAGGGGAGGGTTTGCTATAAACGTACTGAAGGACTCTTAGGTCATTGATCTACGCGGTAAATCGCTCAGTAAAACTGTTGTATCAACTCAGTGTTAGTAAGAGGTAATTATCAGAAGTTCCAATAATTTACTATTTACAAACAGTGCTGCATGTCCTCAATGCCCCGGGACACAAGGTAAGCACATTTACACTTCATGTTCGGACACCACATTTGGCGGCCTTGAAGAAAGCCGAACACATATTGCGCAGCAGTTGAGTAAATTCTCTGATACAAGGTCTTGCTGATATGCTGGAGCCATAAACCTCTTCAAAACAGGTACCCTAACTCTAAACTAGTAGCGATGGGGACTCCGCTTTGTATCAATCAGAAATCACGCTGATATTAATAGATAAATGGCCAAGCAAAAAGGGTGATTGTGGTTTCAAATGTAAGCAAGTTGAGCGATGTCCTGTAGACAAATATACACGTCGAAATGAAGGAAGGATTGAGGTCATGAGATCTAGGGTCCAAAGGGGCTCTGTGAGACCACGATTGGGTAATTGCACATTAACTCGGGGCTGATGAGACAGTAATGCTGCGTAAGTAAGGGAGTCGGACTCCATGTTGGGAATCGCGCATTGATGTCCACCAAGGACACAGATATCATGGTTGCAGTCTGCAGCTGATGGTCGTGTGTGTGAGAATCCACCACATCTCCTTTTGCACTACCTTCGTCACCATCGGCATTATCTTCAATGCCCTCGATATCACCGCACCATCGCCTCGCCCTCGCTGTTCCGGCATGTCTGGTTAGCGTAATGCTCACCTCCTTTTTCCTCGGTGACACATTTTTATTGAAGCTACCCACTTCTACGGTTTTCGTTGGCCGTGATTGTCAATGCGAAGATGCCATCACACGAGAATTGCCTAGGTCAGTATCATTTGTGAGGACGCTAGAATTTGTTTCTAAGAGCTAAACTGTCTATTAAAAAATCATTCGGATGCTGCCCTATCCGATGCAAGAACAGTTTGGAAAGGCAGTACCGAGCAGTACCGAGAAAGCAACAATATCAGTGCAACAGTGATCCCCTTCACCTCCAAGGCCTTGGCCAAATAGCCACGATAGCGCTGCTCCACCTCGCAAACAGCGTCGTTTGTGGTCTCCTTGCCACTACTATATAAGACACAATGAACAGTGCACAAAAACGGAGCAGAGCGATGCCATCATTGCATGAGCAACATCTACCTGCCACTAAATTCGACCTGTTTGTAAGGTAAGTTAAGAGAGAACTGAAGTTGACGTGGACAATCTGTCGCTTTTGAAGCGGAAAAAAGGCAGACGAGGTGAATAGAAAGGGGCAGAGAGGGCGAGAGTGAGTGAGAGAGGACGAAGGATTAACAACTACGTACCTCAATCAGTTGATGTGGAGGCCTTTTCGTGATGTTCTCGTGGGCACTGCATCTCCTCCAAGAGCCGGAACTGCGATAACAGTCTCGCGAAGATGAGCCAGCGTCTACCTTCTTTCAATCTGGAGACTATGACGATGCACAAAGACCGCTACAGACTGAACTGGGACTATGGCCTACATTAATGAGTGGAAACTACATATAATTTGCGACAGACATTCATCATGTTTAGGCGCTTTCTCCCGCTAGGAATTGACCGAGGGAAGGTTTCGAGTGATTGCCAGCGCACTTAAGGAGCGGCTAACGCGAGCCCAGGCAATCAGGACTGAGCCAAAGGCAATGCCTCGGACTCTCACGGAAAAAATAGCCACCAAAGTGGGAGATCCCAAGCGTCTGTGTTGTTGTGAGGTGGCACAAATTGGAATCCTGCATTGTGTGGAACAGCGATAAAAAATCGCCGGCTACGAGAGAGCATTCACCGAAGTTCAGCGCTGGGAAGCAAGCCTGATTTGCAGCGGTCATTGCTAAGCCCCATTCTGTTCAGTTGTGACCAGTGAGACGATACTTATTGGTGCCTGAAAGAATTCGGTTTGGGTAGATAGCTGTACAACACCTGATGTCGCATTGAACTACCCCGCCCTGCCTATAGACTATTCCACAGAACCGGTTTATCATGTTATTCAATTCTTGTGACATTGTCACACAATTCATCAGGAGGGCTTCATAACTTCCTCTGACAGTGGTGAGGTCAAATGGCTTGATTTAGGGCAAGTTTTACGATTCCATTACACAAGTTAGGATACAGTTTTTAGTTAACATAACTGGAGCATGGTGACAAACTGCAATGGTGAAAGTCGCGGCTGTATAGTTTGCCAAAACGATTACTGCCTGCCAACAGTAATTGAAGTTTCTTTCGTCTTTGGGAGGATGCAGCACACTTTTTGACATCAACAGTGGATTAGCTTGCGGTTTTTTCCTGTGAGTTTCCTCAGGAAATACGTGGATTCTGGTCCATAGTGAAAGGATCCACCGAGACAACTTCCGGGTGAGGCTTTTGATTATTAAACCAGCTTGCCTAAATGGTAATCCATGAATGAATTTTTTCTCATATATGGAACACCTACCGGTTGGTGCTTCTGAATGTGATGTCCTCTACGCTGTAAACTGTCTCGAAGAAAGACTAATTTAGATGACAGTGCTAGAAAAGTGCCCGATGTCCTACGGGCAGTGAATTCCGTGCATCAGTTGGCAACAGTTGTATGAAAACAATGCGAGGAAAGGTGTCACATTTTAGGCAACGATATGAATAGTTAAGTTTAAGGTCACATACCACGTGTTTCATTAAGGCCAAAATAGACTGGCTGAAACATGACCCTGCTCCACTAGCATTTAGACAACAAAATACCTCCTGCTTCAATTCTGGTGGGAGCTACGTTGGGGACACGCTCTTCAATATCCGAGAGTAAACATCTAACCGATAAGAAACTGTGGCCTTCGGGGCTCCCCAGAAGCCTTCCACATCGCCATCCAAGATTTATTTTAACAAGCAGAAGAGCTGGCAGGCTGAAGGAGTGAACACCGGACTACTCCACAGAGGCAGAAGACAACGAGTAGTTAAGTATGATTAGCTACACACGCACCATTCCCCTTTCCTGCTGCTGGCGGAAAAACATTGGAAAGTGTTTCCAAAGGAAGAGCCCAGTCGGGCTCAAGGTGTTAATGACTTCGCTATGTCCCATGCAGCAAGACTGATGAACAGCTAGAGGGAAGCGATGCATCCAGCCGCCCCAAAGATAGGCAAAAAAGTCACCGCAAGGCACCGAAAAAAGGATACCGTTCCAACCGTGACCCAAAAAACTTTCAAAATAATGAAACGACATCCTTCTACACTGACTTTAAGTAAAAGTATCATTGCATTACAGATAAAAAATTGCTAGGATTAAAAAAAAAATAATCTACTGGGAATTAACCAGTAGACGTAGCATTATTGCAAGGGTGGTGGGAAAGCGCTGTGTTCAAGTCTGCTCGCCTTCTTCGCAGTCAAGGAGCAAAAAACCTTCCTTCCCAGCTCTGGCGGGAGGTACCCGTAAACGCGATCCTTAATTGCCGGTACAGAATATCGGTCGGAGAAGTGGATAAGAAACAATGCACCCACCTCCTGTAACAAAGAAACCGTGTTTTAAAGATGCAAGCAAATACTGCCTCAAAAATTGTTAAGGTGTTATTTCTTCACGTGGAACACACTCACCTCAAACAGGTATGCGTTTTCGGCATACTCGTGGATGCGGCTATGACCGTACTTTTCTGCATTCTCTTTCATTCTTAGGTTTTCATCCAAATAGGTAACCTCGCTTATCAGAAGCCTAACTCGTAAGATGTCACGGTGGGCTGGTTGAGTGAATATTGTAAATCGAGTGTCTCCTGAAACCGATTACGAAAAATGTAGACACATATCTGCACACTATTAACCCTAAAATACACCACTTTATGCACAAAAAGACTTCAAAAACCTGTATATGCAATTTCAGCTGTGCGGACTCCTGAGTGATAGTCCTTATGGAAAAGAATATACCCCTGACTTTGACAGACGTGGTCAGTTGGGAAACTTTCGACCGACCATCTGCTATTTATCTAGATAAAATAACGCATAGCACATCGTTAATAAAGATCTAAAACGTCATCAACCCTAGTTGTTAACAGACTCATCGAGACTTTATGGAGCTGTACGCACTTTCATTGATGAACCCGGTGACATCTCCACCAAGCGTGGATGAAGTAAAGAATAAATTTCTTCACCTTGTAGTTGACCAAAAGCGCGACAGAGTGCCCTAACTGGTTCAATCAAGTTCGGAAGAAGGTAATATAGAGCAGGAGGTAGTCGATTTAATTCCCGCTTTCTCATATGCTGACAAATAGCCCCGATGTGATCAATGTGACCGTGGCTTAAAGAAATAGAACTTACCAAGTGATACGGCTTACCTGATGAATACGTGTTCAGCATTCACTGACCAGGCAGGAGCAATACCGACATCAAACATAAAAAACATCCGATGTTTTTGGACGCCAATCGCGGTTTCGTTCCCCGAAATTGACCATCCATATACGTAAAAATCTTCGATAGGATAACCGCGACTCATGTAGGCGAAGTGTCGAACGACCAGCCGTCAAGACACACCACTACGCATAACTGGGTGTAGCGGGGACGTAACCCTAAAGATATCTTCTGATCCATTTTAACAAACAGGGATAAATTATATGTAAGGATTTTCTAAACTACGCAACAAAAAGTAAAAAAGTGTAAAATTAAACTTTAAATTATTCCTTAGACTTACGCGTAGGACGACAAATTCATGCTAACTTACCAAATTGTTAAGAATTTGACAGAAAGATACGTGTAGAAATTAGAGCAAGTACAAGTCCAGCAGCAAAGCAGTAAGTTTGGTGCCGCCTACTTTTGCAAAACACCTTTACAAGTCGGATGCTGCTTTCTTCCACCATATTTTATGAGAGACTGTCCTTATGCTTTTGACATCGGCCACACTGGTAGCGCACGCCTTAAGTCTAATTCTTAGCGAGTTTTCATGACTTTACAAACACGTCCAAATTCATCACCTCCTACCCTCGGAAAATCTCGATGCTACCGCCCTTGCAACGCAAAAGCCCCGACCCATTACTTTAAACGTAGAACCGGGTAGGTCTCACGCGTGACGCGACGTAACACGACCCCTAGAGGAGGCCAGAGCCTCGGACCCCCCCCTCCCCCTACCAACGGCACCCAAAGCCATGAAAACGACACACCTGCTGCTAACCCTGTTCATCGACTTACAAGTGGTAAATAAAGCAACTGAACACACCACACAAGCAAACATGTGCATATGGATAATGGTAATGTGTCAGCTTAACAAGCAAACAAGCCAGAGAGCACAGGGATGAGCCCTCTAGTAGATGAGTGGCACAATCGCCTTCAGCTCCTTCGGACAGGAGGCGAACTCGCTGCGATACGCACGCAATTTATTTCGTGCCCATTGTGCCATCGTCCAGAAACCCAGCACCGTAAACGCTGCAGCTGCAAAGACAAGAGAACCAATTGCTTAAAATCTTGCAAAAGCAACACCAATTCAAAGCCAAAAAAAACACTAACAATGGAACGTTCAGACCAGCCTCAGAGCATGAGGAACAGCTCCTCTTACAATTGATTAAACGTGTTCCAGTGCCTCAAAAGCTCGTAAAGGATTAAAACAACCCTGCCATAGGCACAAAAAAAATGTGTAAGCCAGTCGCAAACCATAACCGACGGCTCATTCGTCTGTATAGCGAGCCTGCTTGGCCACAGAAGGTAGGAGTAATTCCTCCAGTGGATCAAAAAACTCGCAGTGACCTGTTTAAACTAATTACACAGTAGCAATTGACCTGGGAGGGTTTGGGTCATCACAGTGAAGCCGATCCAGCTGAGCGTCTCGTAGGTGTAATTGGGGCAGGCAACGTAGTTGAAGAGGAAGGTGAGCGGAGAGTTGGGTACGGGACGCGGCATCTGACGCAGTGTAGATCCTGCCGGCCTCAGATTGCGCAGTGCGATGTGGCAGCAGAAGTTGCCCGCCTCACCGAGCTAAAGAGAATGCATAATAAGGAGCGACAATGGCAACGACGTGAAGGGCATTAGGCCACCTGTAGTAAGTATTTATTTTGTGGGTTTCATCGCACCCTATAGTGGCACTGAAATCGTTGTTGCGAAGAATTTAAGCTGATTCACAGAACGCAGAGAAGTAAGCCCCAGTAGCACAAACCGTACGGTTAGGTGCTTTAAGGCGAAAGCGTTTGGGATGCTCTTAACAAAATGGTTAAGTGACGGTAAATGGGATGGCTTACTGCTGCCGGGTGGCCGAGCGTCGCAGCCTGTTAAAGCTGGTGCCCGAAGTCTCCTCTAAGAGGTGACGCCGTTCATTGCCGCGCGTGCTACTCGTATCGCCTCCATCTCGATTACTAATGTTTGGATTGCATTATACCAGGCTTAGTGTCTCGGTTTGCTTTAAATGTCGCCTGAATGAGTATCAAGTACACAAAAAGACCAACTTTAAGATCCAAGGAGAACGCAAGAAATCGAATCCAAGGTGAAGCCAATCAGGTGGCAATTCACAGGCTTTTAATGAGGTGGATCCTAACCGTCCCGTTCACGAGCATGTTTAATGTAAAAAGGACGCCGTAGCGCGCTTTTGAATCCAAGGTGTTCGAACTCACGTTGGACGCAAATAAAAAGACGGAGAGTTAAACACCAAAACCTAGTTCAAAAATGGTACCACTGAAGGAAATTTTGTGCAAATAACTTACCAGGAATAGGCCCAAACCAGTGTAGACTTGGGGCCAGCCAAAGGCTAAAATGGTAAGAAATGAGAGAGAAATAAGTCCCGTTTTTGGAGTGTGAACTATTTTTTGTCGTGTTTCGAACTTGTTTTAAAAAAACGCGGGCTTAATTTGAGATTATGCACTCGCAAGATAAGTCAATACTAGGGTCTGCAAGGAGGGCAGTTGAACCGGGTCTGTGCACTGCCCTTTTCCAATCTGCTGGTAAAAGCCGCGATTCTGGTGCATTTTTGGCTTTCAGTAAATACCATTTAAGAGTTCTCTACCATCAGACTAAGTAAATCAAAATTGTATGTTTTTGAACCCTAACTACAACTGTAAGAACAAGTTACAAGATAAAAACTAACTATAGATGGAACATTAGCATTCAAAAGGCGCTAGTTTCAAGATTAATGGATCACGAGTGCGCTTTAAAATCCTCCTCTATACCTTAGAAAGAAAAAAAATGGCAAGTGCTCATTCAAGTTTTCTATTCAAAGTTGTAGAGCCATTACTTCAACACTTGGGTAAGGAACCACCTTCCAACTTTGTGAACCAATTCTTGCTTCAATCAAATTACAAGTCCATACATATACCGAGTAAATGAGCACTTTCACTATCAAAACTGTGAATTGGGAGCTGGACCCTACCGATCCCAGCAGTTTACTTTGCCATGATAACAACTACCTAACACCAATCATTTAATTAACTAATAAGTCGATGACAAAGCAGTCACAGGCATTTTAACGACTATTTTAGTTCCTAAACCAGCTGCCAAAGCGAATTTAACTGCAGGTGTCACCGGAACCTAGCTGTAAATGTCGCAGCTGCGCTCATTGAACATGACAAATAGTCGGACGAATAATTGACCAAACTGACCGAACCGGAGATACAACTACCAAACCAATTCCCCAAGCGTTCTCCTAGGTGCATGGACAGTCAGAACATTGATTTCAAAACATCGGTGGTCAATAAGCTCTAAAGACATGGTTTACAAAGCCCATCTGCAACCACTTTTTAATAAAGAAATTGGCCTACGAATAACCATTGAATTCTTACTCACAGGGTGGTGTGTAGAGTGGGTGGGTAGTAAAGTAGGAGATGGAGAAAGCGAAGAGCCAATAGTAGGCGCAGTTACGGATGAGGCTGGCTAGCGGCATAGTGGCGTGAGAGAAGCGATGCACGAAGCGCGTCTCCAACAGGCGCTTAGCAAAGTGGCCCACGTAGCAGATGCCCGCAAGGCATCGCAGTCCCCCATCGGTCCGCATAGGCGAGAGGACGTTAAGTAGGCAACCAGGCTGACGCATCGCCCAGACTACTGAGTAGATCACCAGAGGACCCGCATACTCTAGATAAAAGACAGTGCTCCATCCCACCTGGGGCCCAAGATCCTTGTAAAAGAGACGCACCTCTGAAACCTTATCTGCTCCCTCGATTTCGTTGAGACGGAAAGTATTCGAAAGGATCTTCCCACCTGCGGCGGTGCAAACAATTCGAAATGAGAAAAGTGATATCTTGTTCCTATTCTTCTACCGTGTAGAAAAGTCTAAGCAACGGAAAGTTGTAGTACATGGAATATAACAAAAAGTCACTTGAATTTGAAGCTAGAACGCTCAATTAAAATAGTCAGCCTTGCGCCCAGTATGGAGAAGGACTCGCATCATCGTACGGTGAAATATTAACTCACGAGGTTCCAATCGAAGTGAAATGCGATTGAACTTGTACTTTTTGTCTATTTACATCCAATAGAGAGAAAGGAACCAAGTTACCGTGAGATGCAAGCCTCTCCTTCAATGCTCGAATGGTAGTACTAGACGACACGTTATTCAGCGTTAATAAAACCTTTTCTGAAGCACAATGAATTATTGTAACCTAAAGGTAATGTTTTTTGCATAATTCCTTACCGTAGTCATAATAAACCCTAGCGCGTTTACGACCAAAGGCGAAAAGCGGACAACTGAACACGCGGTTGGTAAGCCAATTTTGTGATTGGTTGTACAGTCTTATAAAGCATATTTAAAAGTTTAGTGCAAATTTCGCTAAAGTTAGGTGTTGTTCTAGAAAACATGAAGGCAAAAGTTTAAAACATTCAAAGTTACCCTTTTAATGGTAGCCATTTCGCCGAACGATATTCGCCTTTATTTAGGCTACAAGTATTTGATAAGTTTAGTGATTAAAGAAGAGGCGCACTGAGTTGTGCATTTAAGTACACAGCAGTAATACTCGGGAAAAATTATTATCGCAAAACACGCTAGTCATTATTTTAACTCTCAACCTTGAGGGCGGGCTGCCTAAACACTTGGCTACTATTCCTCCGCATGGCGGCCTGGCCTCCGTGGAGTGGCGGCAGTCCCAAGCCCTGCTGTTAGTCGACAATGCATATTCTGCTCGCATTGTAGAGTGTTGTCTTTAAAGAGGCCTTAAAGCGCTGCGGTTACACCGATAAAAAGGCTGGTGTTGTTTTGTGCGCAGTGGCACAATAAAGCAAATTATCAAATAAGTGAGCTACGACTTAGAGGGGGGGTTTGTGGGTCTTGCGTTTCTGACGTAAGAACCACAGATCATTCTTAAAAGCTTGAAGTTAAGCATTTGGTGAGGGTGATTTGGTTCATTCTGCGGAGTTAAAGTTTATCCGATAAGAACTTAGGTGTTTCTCAGTGTGTATAATTCGGTTGGGTTAGCTTATCAGGCCACGTTGTAAAGCAAAATTGTTACTAATTCGAAATGGAGATTTAGTCCCCGTCGCTTTAAGAACCCCTATTATGCTGATGAGGGTGGTTCGTGCACAAAAATTCCTAAGTTAGCTTCAGTGTAGGCAGATATCCTAAAAAAATTGCTTACTATTTATGCTTTGCAATACTCTCCTCCTGTTTAGGGCTGGCTTCCAATTTAAATAAAGTGCAAGATAATTTGTAAAATGTAACTGGGCATAGATAAATGATTTGCTGGAATACAGGAGATATGCATCAATCAAGTCTTTAAAAATTGATTTTATCAAACGTGTTTTCACTCTTACCGAGTCAGCTTTTGCATCCCACGTCTTTGGCAAATTCATTGATGCAAATTTGTTTTAATATGAGAAACGCTTAAAAATAGCCACCATTACGCATTGCCACACGGATGATGGATGCAATGTGTGAGAATTCGGAGAGAAGCCCGAATGATGTTGAAAAATCTGACGAAATAAGGGAGGATTCACCTTCCGTTGTGGAGAACAACACTGCCGAAAAGCACCCAGACGGATCAGGTGATGCTACTGTGCAGTCTGAGTCTGACGATGATGTTCGGTAATCAAGTCAATGGTGTTTTAATTGTTTGTCATAGAAAGCTGTTTGTTGGTGGACTAAACTGGGAAACAACTAGCGGTATTTAATGTTCTCTCTTTGACATTTTGTTAGAGGATCTTCAGTCTTATTTTTCCCAGTGGGGCAATGTTACTCGGTGCATTATAAAGATTGATCGTTTCACGGGACACTCTCGGGGTTTCGGTTTTGTTACGTTTGAAAATGAAGACTCGGTAAATAAAGTCCTCAGCGTTCCCGAACACAAACTCATGGGAAAAAGGATTGACCCCAAAAGGGCCAAGCCCTCCCGTGAAGCTATGAAGAAAATATTTGTTGGCGGTATAGATCCCGAGCTCACTGAGGAGAGGATAAAAGAGTACTTCAGTCAATTTGGGCAGGTTAGTACAATGTTTGCCCTAGACTAATGTAATTTAGGTTGAGTCTCTCGATCTGCCCTTCGACCTGCAAAAAGGAAAGCGAAAGCACTACATTTTCGTCAGCTTCGCGACCGAAGCTGCTGCTCGCAAAGCCATAGCCAAGGAAAGGCAGGAAATCCACGGCCGCTTGGTAGGCTTTTGATCAACTATCATAATTTTGTGCTGTTCGCCGTCATAGTTGTTAACTTGCACTGACAATAATGCCTTCTGTTTGAAACAACCGTGGTCTTGCTTTGTGGTTTTTATATCACCGACGTAGCGTAAGTTTATACGCCACTGTTTTGCGTGTAGTTGTTAAGCTCTACGCTATTTACCTTTGTTTCGTCCCTCTTCTATCGTTGGGTCCTTTTGCGGCTTAATTTCTCATTCGCATTTTGATTTGGGTGCATTTTTTCCCACTTATTTCAGTGCGATGTGCGGGTTGCCGTAACAAAGGATCAAGCAAACAAGAACAAGAGTGAGTATTTTCTGTCGTACACTTCTATTGCATCATCCAGTCTGACCTTTTTTCGGATGTGTCGTTTTTTAGATATGAAGTGTCTCGGCTACATTGACCCAGCTTATGCTGCCTACGCACCCTATCCTTACGGAGATTATTCCAGTGCTTATGCCAGTTTGGACCCCTATACTTATGGTGGATACTACGGATGCTATGACTATTTCGGTGCCGCGGCTAACCCCAGTACTGCAACCGGCGGCTATGGTGAGTACGCTTCCTGATGAATTGGCCAGACTGCCTTTAAGTATTTTAGTCTAGGTAGCACTCAAACCACGAGTATTTTTTGGTGGTCTTATTTCCCACTCCAGCAAAAAGTGTTACATGTCTACTACATGCGTACTTTAATTTTTCCGTGCCCTCTGCTGATATATCTCATAGGTCACCTGTGTTTGCGCATATGCGCGCCCACACACACGGCTTTGTCTCTTCACTTAACATTTACAGTTGTAAAGCATTTTCAACATAGACTCGAATTAATGGAATCATTAGTCAGTGCACAATTTATTACTTTCTGTGAATTCCCTGGATCACGTGATAGTAGCCTTTACATTTATGTGAATGCTTATGCAGCGCCGGGGACGGTGGTCACTGAAGGACGCAAATATATGCCTTTTTCCATTCAGTTCTTTGTTTCTGTTTCCCTATGCAAAGAGTCATTTTTGGTGCACCCAGGTATATATGCCAACTACGCCACGAATTCTGCTCTCTTCCGTGGTCAGTACGGCGCTGGGCGGTCAAATAACGCCCATCATCCCCATCACAACGCCGCAGCAGCATCAGCCGCCCCTAATCCGCATTATCAAAACAGTGCGGCGGCAGCAGTGGCTGCGGCCGCGCCTGGCGCAGCTGGTGGTGGCGCAGGAGCAATGGGTTATCCTGCTGCTGCGCCGGCAGTAACAAACTCCTCTTCCCACTGGAACCCCGCCGAACCATCTGCTCCTTCCGTCCCTACCTTCGACTATGCAGCGGCTGCACCGCACCCTTAACCACGGCGGATGCATGGATAGGCTCCCGCTGACTCGATCGAACGTTTGTTTTCGATCCCCGCTGTACAGAGACACGACAACTACCCGTCACACTCCCTTCCGCCTCCTCGCTATCCCCAGCACACACGCACGGCAATGCTTCTCCCTCTCCGTCCCACATGTCGGTCTCTCGGTTTGCCCCCAAGTGCCTAGGAAAAGAGGACTGAAGAAAAAGACGCTGCGAAATGTGTTGGCGCGCCGGATGTTTGTGTACAGAAACCTCTCTGTCTATTGTCTATGTGTGGTTTTGCCGCCACTCGTCCCTGTCCCATCACCGTTCCCTAGCTGCCAGCACCCAGGCGTTTCGTGTTCATGCCCTCACTCCCATCTTCGACTTTCACAGTCCTTCGCCATGCATTCTGTTTTGTTCCTCTATCTTTCCTCGCACGGTTCTTCTTACTTCACTCCTTCCTCTGCTTCCCGCCGCACTCCGTGTTAAGCGGGGGACGTGCAAAAATGACGCAAAATGGTGACGCCTAAGGACCCTATAAAGCGTTGGGGGTTATTGCACCTCTTGTGCTGCTCTGGTTGATGGTTGGCTTTGGCGTGTGGTTTTTACCCGCGTGTCGGCGGCTGTTGGTGTGATTGGATGCCAGAGGACTACCCAAGGTCTGCCTTTGTCAACCCTCAATTTTGGGGATGGATCTGGGGGGCCACGCTTCATCCGGTTGTCAGTTCTCTAGGAGGTCTACTCTTTGGCTTTACCATACTTGGCAGGGCTGACTGACAGCGGTGCGTGGGGTGTTTCGAGCCGCGCTGCTTTCGCACGCGCAAGTGCTCATTGGCACGGTTACCTCAACTTATTGTGTGTCACGTTGGGCCTTCAAGGAAGTGTGCGGGTGGTAAATGTCGCTGAGCCGTCTGCGGCCCCGCTTCCTTTATTTGGTGGGGTTTACAGGGTGTGAGCTTGGCTTCTCGTTTGAAAGTTGCGGCGTGGCTGCGCACTTTTACGCTGTAATAAAGGGATCCTTGCCGCGATCGGTATGAGAACACGGATTCATTCTCTGGCATATGTTTATTCGTAGACCTCACTGATCCAGACTAGCTGAATTTGCCACCCGAAGTTAACATCGCTCCTTCACTTTGTCGACGTTGTCAGAATATAATCCAGTACAAAAAAACAAGGTATACCACAGAAGGTATCAGTTCTACGTTTCCATGTTTCGCAAATCAAATGATGAATGACTCACCATAGGCACAATATGCTTCCGATGGTTCAGCAGAGGGGCATTTTCTTAGTAAAATTCGTGGTGAAGCTTGGACTCAATAAGTGGGTTTGCATCGGTTTAATTACCACCTACCGCTACAGCAAAGTGGGACGGCAAAATTGGTGGTGACGGCGGTAGTGGGGTTTGGAAGCTCGGTCTCTTGCTTTGGCCATTCAATACTTTTACCTCCGCAGTTATTATTCTTGATATCCGACCGGGCTCTCCAGCCATGCCCAAAAGTCGCCCAGGCCTTCTGTACAGGAATAATAATTTGTACTTTTATTTCGGATGCCCTATTACAGCTTCAGGGAAGACATCGCGGCCATCATCGACATCGGGGAACAAGTCCTATGCCGCTTAAAAAGTTATCCCGATTACTCTGGTTAAATAAAAAGAAACTAATAATGGGGGTGGGTGAATCCGTAGGGGCTTTCTACAAATGGGTTGGAAGGGCATCTGCTTTAGACACAACAAGTGCTGACAGGGTGAAGCTAAGACTTCATTACTCTCAAATGACCTCAAAGACAGGGTCATTAAATCTGGCAGAACAAAATGACATTTCATACTGTGAAGGTATAGATGTGACTACGAGAAACAATAGACTTAGATAAAGTGCTAACAATGCGTTGGATGTTTGTTTAACTTACGACTCTGGTAAAGGGCGGCTTTGTGTCTTAATCAGTGCACCATAAACTGAATGGGCTGGACTCTGTGGCATGTCAGTAGCCGCAAACCCCTTCTGTGTGTTAAATGTATATGTTTTGCCCGAGCATTATATCGTCTTTTGTCTTCAAAGAAGTCGCGAGATACTCCAATGCCCGCTATGAAATATAGTCCTGTCCTTAGCATAATTATTCACAAAGTCCTTTTTTATGCAAATGGACTCACAAAGGTAGTAAGATTCTAGGATTCAAACCAAACGGACTGTATACATTATCATAAATATTAAGTTGCACCCTCACATGGGTTTGAATCCCTCATGGCATCGGTTTTCCCTGTACGGTGATTTGTTTACTTTAATATATGCGTATTACGCGAGAAAAAGGGTAACCGCAGCAGCACCGAGATGCTCAGAGGGGAGAAGGTGCGGAGATTTGCTATTTTTTTAGCCGTATAGAAACAGGTGCAACCTACAGTCACCACAGACTATGCGTCTGTCATGTAGAATGCCCTATAAAACTATGTCAATGGCCCCTAGTAGCGCTGTGCTGAAAGGATAAAGCATCTTTTAGTAACCTCCTAGGGGTATAACAACTCACGGTGCATCACACAGATCTCCAATAAACACTGCTCTAAAAAATGCCCAAAAACAAAAATTTTGAGCTTTTGTGAAGTACATGCTGTCGAATCTAATAGTACGATAAAAGAGTTGTAGTGTCAGTGCTCCAATTGAAATATCTGCAATCGCGGTAAAAATACTACAGACACATACACTATAAAAAATGTCTACAAACCCATTTCAATGCATATCATATGATATTTTTTTGCAAATTTTTAAGAGGTAAAATTAACTACGAGCTTTGAGCAAGTGCTTAGTCGTTTTTGCCAAAAGTGCGCTAATTTTAACAGGCTTGGGCTGTGGTTGTTCTAGTGTCCTAGTTCGCACCTGGTATGGCTACTGAGGAACCGGTCGCCGAAATTATTGAAGAAAAACAGAAGCAAGAGGAAGAAAAGCAAAAAAGTGTCCTCGGTTTGACCAAAAAGCATCGCAAAAGAGAGCTTAAATTTATAGGTTCGTGCTGTCAGTAGTTTACACCAAGTCTTTTCAGCTGGTGAACTGCGCACTCTCCCGGAAGATGCTAGTGATGAGGATAAACTTATTGCACTGTATAGAAAGTTTCAAATCCTTAATTCGGAAAACAGCGAGATGAGTTCAAAGCTCAAGCTCACAGAAAAGCGCATTTTATCTGTAAGAACTTCCTTGTTTTAGTAATGAATCGTTGGAGTTTTTGAAAAGGAGTATGATCTGTGAAAATTTCAGGTCGCGGCTGAACGTGATCAGTACCTTGATAGTTTTAATCGAGCGAATATACAGAGGGAAAAGTTAGAGGCTTTGTGTAGGGAGCTCCAGAAGCAAAATCACTTGATAAGGGTACGTTGGTTTTCAAACCGTTTTCAGTAGAGTGATTCCGTAGGATCAAAGCTTGGCGATGGCTCAGTCAGAAGACGAGAAGCGTAAGGAGGTGGCTGACCGGTTTCAGAGTGGAATCAACGAAATTCAAACCCAACTGAACGACTATTTGGAAAAGAATAATAAACTTCGGGAAGAGAATCAAATGTTGGCTGATAAACTGCAGAAATTCATCGCGGACCACGAAAAACGTGAAAGTTACGTGCAAAAGGTAATCGTGGCGTCTTTAGTTAGACCAACCTTCCAGCCTCTTAATTATTTTTTTACCCTATGTTATTCAGTACCTCTTCAAATAAAAGTGGAGCACACTTAAGTTGCTTTTATTTCCCTCAACCGTTATTCTCATTGATAATATTCAGATCATCGGCTTGTTCGTATTTATCTGATCGACGTTTCAATCTGTGACCGATTCATGCTTGTGAATGTGTCATTGCGGACGTTATCCTGATCTTTGCTGTCATCTAAAACTACACTTTATAAGTGTTCTGGCTAATTAGGCAGTAATGATAGTACCTATTTGATTAGGTCCCTGACTATCTCATCCCTGTCGGATAAATTCGCCATCCGTTTTCGTGCGGTCCCTAGGGCAGCTACTTTTTGCGTGGTCTGTATTTATTTCGATTACGACTTTATTGTTTGCACAATACCATAAGTCCTTGATATTGAGGGCATCCAGCTTCGAGGACTCCTTCAATGACGTCTAAACATAGTTGTTCAAGGGACTCCAACGTAAAAATTTTGGCGTAAAACAATTTTAGAAATTGTTGGTCACCCTTCTCTTGGATTCGTGCACTGTATTAAAAGAAGGCATAACTTGTCCTCCGTGACGCATTGATAGTCTGGTTTTGAGAAAGGTCATTGCAAAGCACCGCACAGTTTCCATCTTTTTATTAGGAATCCCTCTGCAGGTATAGTTAATTTGATTGGTAAAATATGACATTGCATTCTAAATTGCTTGCTTTTTGATGTCTTTGTTGGGCTTTATGACGTCTTGTTTGGGTTATTTTTAAAGCCTCTTAACTAAGTAGTTAGCTTACTTTGATGTAAAAGCCCAGCAGGTAATAAGTGAGCATATTGACTCGTTTATTCACTTCTTTGTTTGCGTTTGCTGTCGCTGCTTCGGGAGACAAATTCAAAGGGTTATGAATGCAAAGATAGTCCCAGATTTTACCTGTCCCTCCATGTAATTGCTGAAGGCGCGGGAGTTGGAGTCAATGCTTTGTGGTTTTCAATTGTGGTCCTTTTAGGTGGACTTTTGCTACCTATATGTGGAGATGTGGATATGCAATTTTTTTTGTAACAGTGCAGGGATATTCAAGCCACTTCAGGACTCAATATTGCAGGTTTTTCGATAAAAGGAATGCTTCTGTGGCTAATGCTGCGCACTGTAGTAAGTAATAAGTGCCTTCCATCACATACAACGGACGCATACATAGTGGCTAGGCTAGCGCAGTCACCGTCAACAAAGATGGCAGCCAATAATGGTGATGTTTGCATGTGAATAGAAGCACAGAATCCAAACTTGGGCGGTTCTCATATTGAAGCTCCATTCAGCCGCTCTGGAGTAAGCTACTTGAATGTTGCAAATCCCAAAACGACGGCTTAACGTACCTCTCTCAACGACGGTCTCGGCCACGGTCGTTCCTAGTCCCCAGTCACTCCTGCGAGCATTCACTCAGCATGTGGAAATTCTTATTGATGCATGATCGTCTGTTTTTAAATTAAAAATCAGTCTCTCTGCGGGAATGATGGCCGCAGTCATTATGCACAAAAAATATTCAATTTCGGTAAGTTAGCGCATTCTGGGCTCCAAGGAACCCTCGAGGAAATGACATGAGCTGTTCTGAAATGGATCAGCCGCACTTGTGAAAGTTTCTTTCCCGAAGCCTTGTAGGTACTAACCAATCGTCAGGTTAAGCAGTTTTTACTTTGGGGTATGTTCCCTTTACAAAATTGTCAGCCCTAAACCTTCCTCGTCCCTCGCTATTCACTGTTACAGCCACTGGTGACATTGATGCAGCGACTATTTGTTTCGTGTTATTGGAAATATCTACTCCTTGATACTCTGTGAGAGGCAGTGTCTCACTTGCTCAGCACCATGGTTATTTTCCGTTGATATGGCCCCTCCTTCCTCATCAGGTGAAGTGCCACTGAAGTTGTATATAAAACTGACAGGTTAACCGTTATTCAACTAGTTCTGGGAAAATCTCTCTTGTGTTCATCTGTTGCAGCTACTGAAGACGCGGGAGTTGGAGGCGAAGCTGGCGGAGGCGAAGGCGGTGCAGGCGCGGGCAGTGCAGGAGCAGGCGGTGCTGCGCGAGAAGCGCGAGACGGAGCGAGCCCTCGAGGAGTGCAGCCTCCTTAAACAGCGCCTCGAGGCGCACCAGTTGGTGGAGGAGAAGCTCAAAGAGCAGGCAAATTTCTCTTCTCATTCTCCGCTAGTCATAATTGTTCAGCTAGGGGTTCTTATTTTTGAGCCAAGGTAACATTAAATGTTAACTACCTTTTCCCATTCCTCTACTAAGGTTATACGGATAAATAGTTTAAATGGGCTTGATTATACATTTCCTCTTTAGCATTTCCCTACTGGAGAAAGGACCTGCATTAGTGATAGATTACTCATTCTGGGATATCCATAAATTCTCCGCCTCTTAACCCTTCTTTCTTCTAAGGTCCCCAATTTCAGGATGAAGTAGTATGAAGTTACTAAGACTGAAACGTCCGTTTCCTTTTTTGCTCACTTTCTACTAGTCTTTTTTTTACTTCTTTGACCAATTTGCATTATCTGCATGAGTTGGGTAGGAATTCTCTTGTTTTCAGACTTCCAAGTGTAAAACACCCGCTTCTTCGTACTGGCTTTGCCGCTTACATTGACACTTCTCTAAATGTTCTAAAAGAGTGGAATTGGAGGCTCCTTTAAGTTTCCATACTTTTCAGTCTAGCTTTATTCGGCCTACAGGCTTGACATATTTGCACCCCATTTGTGATTAAAGAATCTCCATCAACATACTCCTCATTCCTTTGCGTGGTTGGAAAAGATTGCGTAGGACCTGTTTGCTGCACTTTTTCTCTTTTTTTGTACTGACATTTTGTTCTAGTAGTGGTTTACTAAATGTCAAACGCCCGTTTTCCTGTTGGTGGGTGTCTTATTGTTTAAAGTAGAGGATTGAATTCATAATATCCCCTTCACCTTTTGCTGTCTCTCAGTCTTCAAGCTGGTCTAAAAGTACCATCTTTGAACGTAAAGCAGGGAATTCAAAGCTCCACTCTCGTCTTGTTTTCTTCATGTTAAGTCCGTCTGCCTCTTACGTTGAGAGTGATAAAGTGCGTCGAAAGCCTCATATTTGGATCCCTTTTCTTCTTTAAAAGTTGCTATTATTATTTTGTTGGAGTTTTTTAATCCATCTTTCGCTGCCTCTTCCCCCGTCGTCTTTTAAATCCTGCTTTCCACAGTCCTGTAGTCTACTTTGCACTGTTCCGGGTCATTTTATCTAGGCAAGATGTTACCTGAAAAATTCTTTTGTAGGGAACAAATAGTAGCATAAATTCTGCTTTGCCCTCATGTGCGGTTCCTGATATTCTTGAAACAACGTCCATCCACTGCCGCAATATTTATCAAAAGTAGTTTAGAAGATGTAGAAATTATACTTTACTTAGAAAGTGCAAATTAGGCGAAAATTTTCATTTGCTTCGTTCCCATCGAGGTCTGACATCCTAGGACAATTCACCTCTAGTTTGATGCGCGCCGTACACTTTTCAGGAGGCACCCTTCGTCTCCTTTTTCATGCGGAGCGATTCTATTCTTCCTTTTATCTTGCATTTGTAGATTGAATTTTACAAGAACAAGTACCAGTCTTTCAATAAAACTATGGCCAAAAGCAACGATCTCATCGAAAACACCAAGAAGGAGATGCAAAAGGTGCGTCTTTTTCTCCCCCAAATGTACCTTGTCAGCTGAGCTTTTTTGTTGTTGTTGTTGTTGTCCTTGTTGTAAAAGGGTTTTTCGGGGCAGATATCCCATCTTTGCATAAATTGGTAGGCACGAAGTGGACTTTTTCAGTTCTCTAACCAGTTTTCAGCTTAGCTTTGCTTTAAGTGAATCGCCGAAGCCAGGGAATGCCAATGGCCACTGCGTTTTGTTCACTTCAGTAAAGACAAAAAGGGTAACAGTAATTTGTGGGTCGTGTACCCTGTCATCAATTCAATCAACTTTCTTCAGTTTCCTCGGGTGCTAATATTTTAGTATTGTCATTGTTAACAATGCTACTGCGTTTGTAATTGTTCGGTGCAGACTTGTTCAGTTTCCTTCCTTCCCAACTCTTTCAAAATTGACTATGAAGACGTCCTGCTTTATTTTAATCCAAGCTCCTTAAAAATTTACTTCCATACCCTGTGCAACTGGGATTTTCGACTCAAAATCCAAAATTTCTTCAGCCCTTTTTTTGCGTAGAGTTTAGTCGACTGAGAGAGCATCTGGGAAACGCAGTCACGTATTTTGTTCGTGCCTCTGCACCGTCAGCGTCCATGCGTCGTCAGGTGAAACAAAACCCTCACCGCTTACCCACCAAAAGCAATCAACAGGCGTGCGTACGTGAATGCTTTTGGTGAAGGCATTCCCCACAGATGGCAGTGGTGTCTTGAATGCGCTTGCTATTTGGAGAAATTTCACCAATTTCTTGATCATGGCCCAATTATAAATCAGTTCAGTGTGGCCTGTGGTTAATCACTGTCGAAATCACAAATATTGCCATCCAAACTGTGAGCTTTCCATGCCGGCCAACTGTAAAAATGCCTCAATGACTGCATTTCTTGGCGTGAATTTGTTTCAAACAACACGCCGTTTGATGCGACCGCTTATTAGGCTTGCAAGAAGTGGTCTATTGTTAGTACTTCAGGGAAATACATTGATGCTTGCCTCCAAGTCGAAAAGTAGCAGAAGGACGAAGATTGTCACACCACCAGCATGCGAGCTGAAATGGTTGACGTAGTAAAGTAGAGAATCGCAACAGCCTGCATTCTTCTACAAATTGAAATTCCTTCATGTTGGCACGCAACAGCACAGCAGAGGATCTTAGATTTTTTCTTATCCGCGACGTGTGCTTTATCAATTTACCACATCCGGTTTCACCAAATCTTGCTGTAAATAATGATTGTGTTTAAGATATGAAAATATGTGTAGAGTTTTCTTTTTTCAGCAGTATAATAATAATAATGATACATCTATTTGAGACTCGGGGAGCTTATGTGCTACGTTGTCCATAACACTCTGGTTGGTGGTTTGCGAAACTCCACTTCCTTGGACGCACATCGCATGCGTGTGGATGCCGGTGACTCTAAAAAAGCTGGCGACATTTACGAATTCTTCCAACACAGCTTAAACAAAAGAAGTATTTTCTGTTTTTATGGTTAGAATTTGACCTTGCGCTTTGTGATCCTTGATGGGATTCTCTCGGTCGTTTTATCTCCTAAACTCGGTCCCTTCACTCAATTCAGGAATCACGGAGTAGTGTAGATAACATAGCGTAGGTAGTTCTGACGACTTCATCTTTTTCCTTAACGGTTATTATTATTATTGTTGTGACTCTCGTTCAGCGGAGACAACTTTTGCCATTTTGCCGGCCATGTGTGAGAACTGGGCTGGGACCCAAGTATTTACTAGTGATAAACCGTAATGGAGTCGGTGAATCTTTTCATCTCATAATAAACATGGGTGTCATTGCAAGAACCATTCAGAAGTACAAAAGTGGAAGATTTCAAGGAAAGTGGTTTGTGACGTTTGAATAATCAAAATTTATGAAATCAAATCTGGCTTTCTCCCATCAAACCTTTCCTCGGTAAAGAGATTGGCTGATTTTACACAAATCAGCCTTAAACTGAAACCATGGGGGTGTTTGTCTAACCGTTTGCGGCGAGCCTGTATCCCTTTCAATGTTTTCTTATCGACAAAACAAAAGAGTCCCTAAGATTTCACCCTCTCTCATACTAGGCAGTTCTCACCGATTGGGAGGATAAATTGTCTTTTTTGAAAAGAAAAAAGTCTTATTTGATCTATCGTTGGCTCGGTGTTGTCAAGGTGACAGCGAAGACCCTTCACTCAACTATCGCGAATCTCGCCTGGCTTTTCATTTTCATGTTTTATTTTTTCAAACTACGTTAGCTGTCAAATTTAGATAAGTCACACTCAGTAAATTCGTACCTTATCTGGTGATAAAGCCTGAATATTTCTAGAAAGCACTTTAAATGCTTTATTCGTTGAAAAATTAACATTAGCATCTCGGCCTTTATACAACATTTCGTCTCTAGAACCCAGGAAAAACCCTAGCCCTATCCACCTTCCTTCCTATCTCGGCATTTTCCCCTCCAAAAGACATATCAGTTCTGTTTCGGGGGGTGTGATGCTAAGGAAATGTGAACTAAGGGCAACCGAAGGCTGCAAATGAGGTTAGGACGCCACCTTTCTCCCTTCCTCTAAGTGGTTTGGAGCATGCAGTCTTGTGTGTCTTGTAAGAATAAGAATGGGACGTTCTTTCCTCCAATCCACTGATCTTGGCTTTTTCTAAAAAAGAGGAGTTTTGCAGGTTTGTTGGATGGAAGGAGTGTTTAATCTTCAACATGCCAGGCAATTGAATCTGCTGTGCAGCACGCGCACACAGAGACACGAGGAAAGTCGTCAGGGTGTGAGAAGGTGGTGTGCCTTAGATGTGTGAAGTGTTGTGGGTGGTGAATGGGTTGTGCTAATCAATGATGAGTCTATTGTAAAAAAAAACAGTCTTTATCACAAGTCTGCCAGGCAGCAGTTTGGAATATACAACGTCCTGTGAAATATGGAAGAAGCGAGGGTCGACAGGTAGATCGTTTTCGAGGATTGCCGCTGCCTATTAACACGCGTAAGTGCCGCTTCCGCTTTCCTTTGCCCTTCCCCTCCCCCTGTTAGTGTAGGTGTAGGGGAGTTGTTTCATTTTATATGAAATTAAAAATTGGGGAAAGTCCTCCTTGTCACGTGAGTCACGAAACAACTTGTCAAACGCGAGACGTGATTGCCTACTCGGGTTAAGAATGGTTGGTCTCCCCGAGAGCACTGCATTCATTTTTGAATGATTTACCACCAGAGGTAGACTTTTGGGACCATTCTATGTGGTACGCACCTCCACCGCACCTTCCCTGAATGTTAGAGGCAAATCTGCACGCGAAGTTGCTGCAATTCTGAAATCTCGTGAAGCTGATGAGTCTGAATTGCATCAGATCCAAGAAGTGTTAGTAGAAAGCATAGTAATGTGCACCATACTAATGAAATGACGCGTTCTCATCTGTGCTCTTGTGATACATATATTTAAACAGTGGGGTTTCATTTCCCAGGTCCAAAAGTTAAACAAGTCATTGCTAACAACTTATGATGAAAAAGCAAATTCGGCTTGATAGAACTACTGGGGCAGTAGGAAGGGACCGAATGGTTCGATTTGCCGACTCCAAGAAGAGTCAGATACAACACTGAGGGCAATGTAGGCAGTTGTCTGGACGTCTCGACTTTCATTTGACATTTGTTTCCAAACACCAGATGACGAAACATCTGCGCACCGCGGAATCGGCCGCCTTGGAGTGGCGTAGCAAATGGGAGGTGAGTCAGAAGGCCCTCTTGGACATGATCGACGAGTGTCGCAAGGAGAAGGAGAGATCACAAGCCCTGCAAAAACAGGTTGACAGCCTATCCAACCTCTGTCGTGCTCTACGAGCTGGCAAATCCTCACCTCCAAAAGGTAATATTCTCATATATGCTAATTATATCTTCCAGGTAGACCTTATTTGTTGCAAAATGGTATTTATGTGCGTGAGCTCTGAACTGGTCGAATTTTCAGCCCCAGTGGGTTGGTGGAAGACGCCTCTTTATCTCTTGACGTGTAGTAGCAAACAAAGGGTACGACGTGGGTGCAAGTGGCAGCCGGCCGGTTAAGGGGGGATGCTAGCGCCTAGGAATGGTTCCAGCCTTACGTGTTTACTAATATTTGCTTGGCCTTGATCTTACAGCCATTGCTATCACATCTATATGTGTGTTGGTCAATCAGAAGGGACTAGAATGCACAGGAATTAGCCGTGGAGTTAGAAACTAGAGAATCGGGATATGGACGTCCTCTGAAGTTGTCAACATTTCAGCCTTATCTTTTTTTCAATGAAATTCTGATTTATTTTAGAAGAGGAAGCACAACCAAAGGCAGAAAAAGATGCTGATGGAGACGAGAATAAGAAGGGAGAGGAAAAGATTGATGAAAAGTCTTAAACTCGTCGCCATGGCCAGCAACCGTCTCACTTCATATCACTCTTTTTTATCCACTTGATTGTGTACTTTATTACTTCCCTCTCTCTCTCTCTCTCTCTCTCTCCTCCTCCTCCTACCTACCTACTACTACTA